TTCTACTATAAAACATGCATTTTAGAAGGGGTCCACTCACAGTACTTAGTTGCCAAAAGCTGCGCCACTAGCGAAGACGGAAACGTCACAATAATTGCCCCTAAGCACATAAATGGTACAATAAATAAAACTATATAATAGAAATTGAATTTGGGAAACGGACATTGGAAACGGATCCAGAACGTCGAATTACCCTAAGAAGGGTTTGAATTAAATAAAATAGGGAATTTGGAATTGGATGGATTTAGGGTTTTAAAGGATTTGGGTTATAAAGGGTTTAGGGTGAAAATGGGTGGTTTGGGCCTAAGCCCAAACACACACACGCACCACACAAACACACACATGCACGGCATGCACATGCATGCAAGCATGCATATACACACACGTACGCATGCACTTAAACACACACACACACAAACCACAAAGGCCTTAAGGCCTCACACAAGGACCGGGCTTTAAGCCCTTTCACTCAAAATCGGCCCAAGGCCCTTTGGGCTGCTGAAAATAAATAATTAAATAGAATAAAAACGGGCTGGGCTAGGCAGGGAAGGCCCAAAGCCTTGGGTTTTGGTGGGTCGCCGGATCCAATGGGAGAGAAGGCCGGAAATTCGGCCGGAAAACCATCCCACTTTAAACGGCCATAACTTTAACAATACTCAACGAAATCAAGCGAGACAAAAACGAAAGTTATAGCCCTTGAAGAGACGAAGAGAATGGTACCTCACACGACATCTAAATCGCCGTGGTTTGGCCGGAAAATACCTCGAAAGCCGTCGGACTCGCCGGAAACTGGGTAAGATTCAAATGAGTATAACTTTTCCAATACTCAACGAAATTGAGTGAAACAAAAAGGAAAGTTGTACTACTCGACGAGACGAAGAGATTGATACCTTGCACGCCGGCCAAATCGTCGTGGTTTGGCCGGAAATGGCCTCGAAAGGGGCGGTGCTTGCCGGAGCTTACTCCGTGTCGTCGAACTCGCAGGGCAGGGTCCGGGGTTCGTTGCGAGCCTCTCTTCGATGGTGACTCGGTCCTAGTGAGTCCAGGGGAAGAGAGAGAGCCGAGAGACAGACAGAAGAAGGAAGAAAAGAAGAAGAAGAAAGAAGGGAGTTCACGGGGGAGGGACAGAGAGAGAAGGAAGAGTGACGGGAATGGGGGACACAAAAACAGAAGGTGGGCCCCTTGGGCACACCAATTAAGAATTAAAAATCATTTTTAAATAAAATGGGGGTGAGGTGTTACACTGTTCATGTCAGAATATCTCTACATGAACTTGTGTGTCATCATATGTCGATGAGCACTCGATATGATATGTTTGTTTATGCGAGATTATGTGATATCGGTCGTTATGCGTTTATTTACATAATATTGCAACGTATGGCATTCTTGTGATATTGCACGTTACGGTAAGTATTTTCAGACTATACGTAGTATGTATATTTTGGAAACTGTACTTGTTTTACAGCAATGGGTTATTATGTTTTCAAAAATATTTTTACAAAGTTTTATTTTTTTAGGCCCACTCACCCTCATTTTTCGCCCCTCCAGGTTTTAGTAGCTGAGCTTTCGTATCGACGATGATTCTTGAAAAATCTTGGTATAGGATGTTACCTTTGATGGTATATTTCTTAAATCTACTCTACTGTACTTTACTTATACTCTGACATCACGTGTGAAATGGGTTCATTCTCGCTCACAAGTGTACTATTGTATTTAGGCAGTTTTCGGTTTTAACTTTATTCACATTTTCCACATCACTATATTTTATGGCTTCATCACCCTCTTGGTGTTGGCCAGCACAGCTTGATTCGGAGTTCAGGTGGACTTTCCGGATCGAAGTGTGTCAATTTGGTATTAGAACCTAGTTTGGGTAGTATTGCGTTCATCACACGTGTGATGTAAGCATTCTCGGTTCTTGAGCTTAATTTTCGAATCTTGCCACCTCGTCAAGCATGAAAAATGTATTAGCTTTTTCTAAGTTATGGGTTACTTAGATGACTTATCGACCTTCTAGAAGAACATTTTGGCAACCGCCTCTATATTTTAAACAAAGAACCTCACTGTCAAGAAAAATCTCAATTTGGAACGAATTGTTGTCCCTGAACCTAGACTAATGTATCGATAGTTGTGTATCATCAAAGAATTACCAATTAATCCCATCATTATTCTCTAGCCATCATTAATAAACCTTTTGAGATAGGAAACCACAATTAGTTTCGATTCTTTGGCAGTACATGTTAGTATACCACCTATTAGAATTCCTACAAAGTTTTACTTTTCGTCGAAAATTTCGAAATGTCTGGAGTGATGATGTGGTGGTAGTGGTAGAACTCGACGGAAGAACATTTGGGGGACAATCACTTTTGGTCCCCGATGGTATTAATCCTTCAAATGTACTAGTATAATTCTGGATCTTCGGGTGGAAGATCGATTTCCATTTAACTCCATTCTAAGGTAGGTTATTAACAAATTCATTTTTCCGACCTTAGGACATTTCAACCAATATAAATTCCCAGAATTTCTTTCAATGTTGTACCTGTATTACGATGAGTATAGTTTGGGAGTATAAGTTGTTATGCCTACGTTTAGTAGAAATCCAAAAAACAGTAATCGATTTCCCTAAAATCAATGAAACCACCTCATAGGACTAATTCTTTACCAATCATCTGAAACCTTCCACCCGAGCAAGCTCTAACATGTAATTAGTCTATGATGACGCTACTAATTGACAATACTGTCCGATATCCAGAAACTGTCAACTGGTATTCAGGTGGTATGATTTCTGATACCAGACACATATACTAGTATCTGGGAGTGATACCTTTGTACTAGAATGCCAGTCCACAGTTTCATGATAAAGAACAATATCAAAATATCATAAATGCGCTAATTAGCGGCATAATTGATAGACTGATTAACAGTGATTACATGAGTCGAAGAAATTAAGTCGTGGAAACTTAGAAGCAATCATTATAGTGGAACAGTAAACTCATAGTTGTTTTAACCTTACCACCCATCTAGATAACCAAAACATTTTCGACCAATCACCCTTATGACCACTTCCATAGGTAAACATTAAAATCGAAGCACAATTTATTTTCCTGTTGTAAGAACAATTTAAGTATCGAGAAAGCTATGAAGACTTATTATTACGCGACATAGAGAAAGGAAGTTGTATGGTAAGTTTCGATGACGAATATCTTTGGCATCGTTTCCTAAAATTTTACCTAGGATACCATTGAGGCGGGAAGTAGAATACACCATAGATCCACTTTCTTGTACTACACAAATTCTCATTGCATTATATCGAACGACTCCTTCAATTTTGAGAAACCTAGTTGTAAAAGCTTTTTGATTAGGAATCATTCAACCCAACACTTTATCTTGGGAACCTCCAACCTATCTGCGGGGCAGAAGATTGAACCTTAAGATCGTACCTAGATTTTAGCAACTTAGTTGAGTGATGATTAAAAACCATTAACCCCTACTTCAAGTTGATGGTCTCTCCGACCAACTTTTAGAGCCCGAGTTTTCTTCCGTAGCCTAACGGATTTGTAGTAATCTTACCGATGACTTTCTTACCTGCTCCAACATCGAGATCAAGTTCTCCAAATACCGACAGTTAGCTTTATACCAAATTCATCAAATGTTAAATTTGTTTAGATTGGTACTTTTATTGGGAGACGTAATCTCAATAGACAATATTCTTTTCTTTCCCTAAAAGGTTGTAGCATAAGAAAGTTGAAATCCTCACAAAGTGTTATGAATTATGAGATAGATATCCTTGGTTTTGTCGATTTTGATTAGCGATTTATTTGCAATTTTTCAGTGATGGCGTTTTCCTCACTTGTTGATCGAGGAAAGTTAGTTTAGTTGTGATGTTGATTATGAATAAAATTTTTGAGAAACGAAGTGTTGTCTCTTCTCGAGCTTTATTCTTATATATTTCGATGACATCGATAATTTCAAAAATCCACAGTGATGTGTCTCTGGATGTATTGTTTGAGTACTGATGCAACATGATAGAGTATCTCTTTTTGTTCCAACAATTGGGACCGTACGAAATGAACCATCTTACTTATGACTAGAGTCAAAGGTTACCTTCTTTACTTGAAAATAAACGTGTCAAAATCTTACCAACCACACAAACTTTCCAAAAACCTTTTCACTCGAAATGAGCTAAGGCTCGAATTACAGCAATGAAAAAACCAAATCAACGTCTACAATTACACTATCATGTATTACCCCGGTCGTGCAAACGTAATTAATGTTTACTGTAGCAAAAGACATATCTACCCTTGAACACTCTTAGCTTGTCCTATTTCGTTTCAATTAGAATTCACAAGTTTTGATATGACGTTATTTATGAATCATCAAGAAATCGTTCGCATGGTTATAATTTTAACATTATGTTTTTATAAGAATTTATATTTTAGTATTATACTGAAGGAGAAGGAAAGTTTTAGTTTGGAGACATGAAAAAGGAATCATTGCAATGCAACCGCTCTAGTTGATATATAGCTGATATATATATATATATATATATATATATATATATATATATATATATATATATATATTCTTCCTATAATTAAATAGTTTATGTATAACAAATGATATCAAATTTCAGGGACAAATTTTTTTTAAGGTGAGTATAATGTAGAAACCCATCCCTAATTTTAATTTTAAAAAAGTGAATTGACAAAATGCCCTTAGAGGCAAGATTGTTGACTTTTGTTGATTGTCTTTTCGTGATGTGCATGAGCTACTATTTTACCGTATTCTCAAGGTACTCGACGGTATAAACGCATAGGCGCAAGTGAAGTTGAATTTGGAGTTAAAATGAAGATTTTATGAAACACCGAATACTGAGGGCAAAATAGTAATTTTCATATTCGAAAGATATTTTGTGTTTTGCTTTGTGAGCCACGTGAGGCCCACATATCACTCATCTCCATTGTCCATGGTTTCTTTTCCAACACATTCTTAGACCACTCTCTTACTGCCACCTCATTTCCTCCCTCTAGTTTTAGTTAAAAAAAAAAAAAAACTTTCTCTCATTATCTTCTTCGTTTCTGTAAACAGATAGGCTAAAAAGCCGAGGACCACACACTCTTCTCTGGCAAACCACTCTACAGACCACCACCTTAACTCTCATTTTATCTCATCCCGTTTCTTTCTCTCTCTCACTCAACCTCTTATTACCTATCTCTTTCTCTCTCACTTATGTAACACAGAACCGGCGACCCATCGCCATTTGCCATCTCCGGCGAGCCCAGCTGAATCACCCACTTGCTGCAGGCCTTGCAGCAAGTCACCAGCAACCATGATGCTCCTTTAGCAACCTTCTATTTCTCCTTCACTTTGTAAGCATAGAGGCAGCACCACCACCACTTAACCTCTCAAACTCTGGCAAGTTCTCGCCATTCCCAGCGAAGGTAAGCCTCAAAACCCCCCTAAAAAAAAAACTTCTTAAATCTTGTTTTGGTGCATGATTTGGAAAATTTTGAGATGTTTTAGCGACGTTATGATATAAAAATGGCACAAGGAACTTTTCCTTAGATTTCTGGCAAACTCGGGGGTTGTTGCAGACTTTTTTGGCCATTTTCCGACCACACCAAGACCCAATAAGGGTATATTCCAATTCCTTGTTCTTCGATCTTTGGTTTGGTATATTACATGGCTAGGTTTAGTTAAGTTTTGTGGTTGATCGGAGTCGAGATTTATCATGGCCTTCTCTTTTGCAGTCTTCGGCGGTTGCAATGGCAACTGGTTGACCAAAAAAAAAAAGAGAAAAAGGGGCCCAAAACCAGATCCATGGGTCGGCCCAAACCCTTGGCCTATAAACCCTAAATTGGGATCCAGCCCGGCCCACGATTTAGAATATTCGTTGCGTTGACTTTTTCAGAATTTTCTCGGAAACCTTCCTAGGCTAATTTCGACGCTCCGAGTTCGTTTTGACATTTATTTCGTGAAATTCTAAAGTTTTAATGTAGTTGACCATCGGGGCGGCTCGATTAACTTTTTGGGTTGGCTGTTGACTTTTCGTTATCGTTTTACAAAATTTGCCCAGGACCTTTCTTAACGTATTCTAATGCCTTAATTCCAAATCTACTCCATTTTTCTAAATTTAATCGTTTTAGTTGAGTTTTACTGATGGTACCTAATATTATGCTTAGGTGTGATTGCTATCATAGACTTCGACTTTTCTAATGCGAGTGGCTGCGATCTCGCAAATATCTGTGAGTGGGTCTTTACTTTTAAATATTATATATTTATTTAGTTTCCATTTATACATTTGAAAAAGAATTTCCTACATATGCCTAGATTAGACTAATGTTTATAAGAATTAGCAAAATGACGAAATTTATAGAATTATCCTGAAACCTACGAGATGCACACCTATGCATATTATTACGGGATGCCTTATGTATATTTACGATAGTGAATAGTATTATCTCGACATAAATTATTGATTTACCGCTATATGATTTTGTTTACGTTATCTACTCATCGTTGCTACACCAGTGTTAGTACTCGCTCGGGTCAGGGCCAGTCTTTCACGTGTATGTTCACTTCGCACCGTACGCTCACTTTGGATCCATTGTAGGTAACAACTCTGTTTTAGATTGCTATAAGCAGTTAGGACTCGTATGCAATGCACATAGCGCCAATGTTCACGTGATTGTTGTACTATAGCATAGATCATTATTACACTCAGTCATGTTCCTGTCAAAATATCTTTGCATGAACTCATGTGTCAGCATATGTCGATGAGCACGCGATATATGTTTGTTTATGCGAGATTATGTGATATCGGTTATTATGCGTTTATTTACGTAATATTGTGACGTATGGCATTCTTGTGATATTGTAGGTTACGGTAAATATTTTCAAATTATGCATAGTATGTACATTTCGAAAACTATACTTGTTTTACGACGATGAGTTATTATGTTTTCGAAAAGATTTTTACAAAGCTTTATTTTTTAAGCCCACTCACCCTTGTTTTTTCACCCCTCTAGGTTTTAGTAGCTGTGCTTTCGTATCGACGATGATTCTTGGCAAATCCTAGTATAGGAGGTTACCTTCGATAGTATAATTCTTAAATTTACTCTATTGTACTTTACTTATGCTCTAACATCATGTGTGAAATATGTTCATTCCCGCTCACAAGCACTCTTGTATTTAGGTACTTTTAGGTTTAAATTTATTCACATTTTCCACATCACTACACTTATGGCTTCGTCACCCTCCTGGTGTCGACCAGCACAGCTCGATTTGAAGTCTAGGTGGATTTTCCGGATCAGGGAGTGTCAGTATTTGCTTGATATCTTCTAACAAAACAATTAATTTGCTAACATAAATCCACCTGCATAATGTACAACCTTACTCACGAAACAAATATGTATGGATAATATACCTGTAATTGAGATATAAAACTTAACTTAAAGGTACAAAAACTTAACATACCTACAAGCAAGACATATTAATTTGTGATACAAGTTGATTATCAAAAAAGTTTGTCATATAGGCAGACAAATACAATTAATATATGATATAAGTTGTTGATAGGAGCATATTTATGCGACTTAGTTAGCTTGTTTTCTTGCATTTACATAGCTAATTTCTCCTTATCAGAGTGTTTTAAGCTATTTTTGTGTGTTTTCAGGTTCAAATGACAAAGTTGGCAAGAAAATGCAATTTGGAACATTTTAGAGCAGTTTTGGGCTAAGAATAGATAGCATATAAATGGAGCATAATGGATGGACATTTTTAAAGTTTAAAGAGGCTAGGAATGTGCTACAAATATGGAAGAATGAAATCAAGACTTGGAGGATAAGGAATCAGGTAAAAAGAGGGAACATTATCTTAACCAACCTTATCTTATCCAACATTATCCAAACTAACTTTATCTTATCTTATCCTATTCTAATCTTATCCTACCTGATTTCCAGCTGCAAGGAGAACATCTAAATGACATTAGGATACCTACAAATCAAGTTTCTAGAAGCCAAGCCCTTTCCCTAAAATCATGCCGCACCTAGCCTTTCTAGAAGGTCTTTTCCCTATTCCTAAAAGGGTGCCACATCCACCCCTTATAGAAGCTATGTTTCCTACTGTAAGGACCATTCCTTTTCCTCCCTGGAATCTGAATGAGAAATGTCCTTTTTCCTTGTTGATTTGGAGTCCTGATTTCCATCCTTCTCAACCCTTAGTCGTGCCTTCCTTTCTCCCTATAAATACATTGTGCTGCAGCAATCATAAATGATCCATCTCTCACCACAATTCGCACCGCACATCCATCATACACAAAAATCTCTCTAGTGCCGTAGCCTTGCAAGGAGAAAGGAAATGAGACCCTTGGAGCCGTGCCCTGTTATTCAAGCTTGGATTGCTGGAACGTTCCTAAATGTATTCTATCTTTTGTTTTCAATGTTTAATTTAAGTTATCTTTGTTTAAGTGCGAACAGGAAGAGTTGAACTCATTTTAGCTAGAGGCGAATTCAAAGCCATGAACATATATTGCATATGATTTGATTACGTTCAGTTATTATTTCATAAATCGTGAATGCAATTTGTTTAACTATTTGATTCATAACTTATTCTTGTATGTTGATTAAAGAGGCCTGCTTAGTTTGCATGCATGAATTTGATGCTAAAATATAAGGAAGTTTCACCTCATAGTTATGAACTTATATTTATAAGTAGTGGAGGTCACTGGTCATGATTAGTTAAGTAAAATTCATGGCAGGAGTATCATGCTGTTCATAGTTACGAATACATTGTCAATGCTTATGATTTTCACAGAACTTAATGATCTTTGATATGTATCTCTATCATGTTGTTCATATAGGGAACTTGATAAGAATAATTTGGTTGCGACGCTGAGTCCAATTCAATGAACTTAGGAAAATCTGAGAGTTAATTAGTGATGTCCACGGTTAATCTGGGGTGTTGTCATTCATGGTTGATATGAATAATAACTAAAAATCGATTCGTATGTATATGTATCATGTATGGAGATGAACCCTTTAGCTAGCCATTCACCCATTAAAACACCCAATTTCGTCCAAAATTGTTTAGAGTCTTTAAATATGTTTGCTTTTACTTTAAATTTGTCAAAAACCACTCCCCCCTTTATATTTTGTGTCTTTTAGTTATAATCTGTCCAAACTGGTTTCCTTTTAGTATTTTGAGTCAACATAAGTTAGAATTCATCCATACACATTGTTTTGAGTCTTTTTAGTTTAAATTTCATCCAAAGTCACCCTTAGTGTTAATTTTGAGTCAATTTGTTTGTTTTGTGTAGTTTTGAGTAATTTGAGTAAGTCATGAGTCATAACAGTCTAGTTAAGTGTAATTGAGTCTAATTTGAGTATCCTAGCAGTCCTTCCTAATCCCCGCCTAAAACGATCTCTACTTATCTATACTACAATTATAAAAAAAAAAAGGTTTAAGTTTGAGTGCTAGTTTATATCACATCAGTTGTTTATAAAAATTAAAAATAAAATATACATGAATGGGATTTAGAAGGGGAAGAAGAAGAAGAAATAACAAAAAGAAAAATAAATTAGAAGAATAATTAAAAGTTTATGTATAGACACATAAGAAAATTAATTGAAACTTATAGTACATTTGAAAACAAATGGGCTAACTTTTAGTACGTTTAGATTCCAAATGTACCAAGAAACCAAATGTACCATTGTACTTATGTTATAGGTAACCAAACATACTATTATAATTAAACGTACCTTTTTGTCAAAAATTAAATGTACCTTTATTATGTTTATTTCTGTGACAATGAATTTTTGAACATTTTATTCAATTCATTAAAATAAATTATAATAAAAATAAGAAATTTGAATCAATGGTGGATATATTAAAGAGAGTTTTAACAAAAAAAACCTGCGGTACTGTTCACTTTAACGAAAAAACATATTTTTACATTAAAAAGTCAAACCTGGTACTATTCACTTTACCATTTATTTTTCTCTTATCATTAAAACTCAAAATTTTCAAGCATTTTTTATTAGTTTTCCTTATATTAAATGAAGCATAATAGAAAGAAAGGGAAAAAAATGAAGAAAGGAAAGTAAATAATTGACGTGAATTTTATTTTATCAAAAGTAACGTGAAAATGTTGGGTAGAAAATAATTTCTTGAAAAAAAGAAGCGTAAACAAAAAAGTAAAAAGAAAGAAGTAAAGTGAAAAATTAAACTTCTAATAAAATTACCAAAATTGTAGTAAAAATGTTTAATCAAATTCTTAAAAGAAACAAATGTTTAATTGAAGAAATTAAAAAACAAGGTGCTTATTTCAAAACAAATCTTTTGGTTGAATAATAAATGCTTTATTAAAAAAACAGTATAAGATAGTACAAGGAACGACCAAAAAATGAATTTCCAAAACACAACGTGAATATCTAGAATAAAAGCTGCCTACATCTTACAAAAGATATGTTGCCCGACAAATATCATGGGGAAAATAGCAACAAAAGAAATACTAGTGGGCCTATGTAAAAACCTCCCGAGGAAAACTGCATGAAAAAAATGTTAGGGTATAAAAAAGAGAGCCACACAATATCATCCTTTAGTCATAGCTATTGGAAGCTGGATAATATAATCATGTCATTATTGAGTAATCTCAAGGTAATGACAAGCTAAAATGACAGGCTGAAAATATAATAATGGTACCCCAATTCACGCGTAAGCTGATATACATAATCATCCACTAGCCGTAGCTAGTGGAAGCTGAAAATATAATCATGTCATTGCCGAGAAATCTCGAGGCAATGACACGCTAAAATGACATGTCCACGATGTGGACAAGCTGGAAATACTCATACATGTGCAAGCTGTGTCTTATGACCAAGAACGTGGTACAAGTTGAGAATATAACTATGTAATCATGTCATTACTGAGGAATCCCAAAGTAATGACAAGCTGAGAGTATAAATGTAGTACCCCCAATACACGTGTAAGCTGATATATATAATATCATCCACTAGCCGTAGCTAGTGGAAGCTGAAAATATAATCATGTCATTGCCGAGTAATCTCAAGGCAATGACAAGCTAGAATGACATGTCCACAATGTGGACAAATTGAAAATACTCACACATGTGTATGCTATGTCCTACGAATCATAATAACATCATGTCTCAAACTCAGAGACATGATACATTATTTAGTTTTATTTAATCTTATGGCAACATCTAACTTTCATGTTAGATTCCTCTACATGCTCTATGAAGGGATCAAGGAACCATAAATCATCCTTCATATGAGAATTTCAACATATACTACTTAAACGTTTAAATATCGTACTTAGTTGAAATGAATATCTCACTTAACCACAAAATAGAAAGACAATGGGCATATTCTGACCGTTAGGCTCTATCGGGCCTCTAGTGATGCTAACGTCAATATTCAAGAATTATTCGGAACATGTTGGCCCTAAGTAAACCCTCAGTCAAAATGGTCTATGTTAAAGTCAAGCACTCTAATTCTTCTTATTTCGGAACATCTGCACATCGAATTTCCAATCTATAGGTTTCTAAGGCCAACAATACCATATTACAATTTCATAATGATCTAATGGTCAGATCTCCGCCGAGTACAAATTCAAGTGGCTGTAAATCATCAAGTTGTGTTCAAATGATCAAATTTGAAGAAATGGACTAAGAAATTGGAATCAGCAAGTCGAAATACCTAGAAGGGGTCCCGGCTTAAAAATTCAATAAAAAAATCAACAATCAAAGTCAACGTCAACGACGATGGAATATTCTGTCGCCGAACGAAATATTTTCTTAAAACTAACAGAATATTCCGAACTGGAAACGAAAAGGGTCGAGTTGGATTCAAGTTCATATCAGGTCGGATCTGGTTTGCCGGATCTGAACGGGGATTTCGGGTTGGGTTGACCGGGCTCGAGGTCACGGGTCCGTTGGTTTCTACTATAACCCGACGGAAAATATCGAGCTTCGATGAGCTCCAAATCACCGCCATTTTTTCACGAATCTTGGATCAAAATGAAGCTAAAAAAACGAGGGACTCGAATTTACCTTCCTTATGTTGAATTTGTGGTTGGATATGCCGAAAAACGGCCAAAAGCACTCGAAAATCGTCGATCCTCATCTCCTTGCTGGAATCGAAGAATTCTTCCACAAATCCTGCTACACAACGAGTTAGATGGTGCTTGGGGAGTTGTGGTGAGTTGGTGATGGTGGTCGGTGGTGACATCGTCGAGAAATTGACGAGGGATTCAACGTCGTGTCATCGGGTGAAAACAAAAAAATGCGGAATGGAGGAAAGATCCTTCTGGAGGAGCTGGAGAAGAAAAGAGAACCAGGACAAGAAAATAAGTATATCCTCGTGGATCCCCTATAACTAATACAATTCTCTTGGAATTGATTAAGTTTACATAAATACCCTTGCATTTAACAACCTGTAAAAGTTTCGCCTTTCAAGTCTAATTCTCGTTCGTTTGCACTTTTATATTCGTCAAGTCTTTTATTCAATTAGATGTTAATCTAAATTAATCATAACTATGCAACCCTATTCCTAATAAATTAATCTCAAAATAGCATATCCAAATTATAAGAAAGCTCATTTAGACCATAATTGCAGAAGCATTCGTAGCAACGAGGACTACAAGAATATGCTCATTAGTGCATCACACGTATAATGAAAATAAAATCAATAAAACTCAACGTGCACCCTAAAGGAGCATTTTGGTCAATGTACCCTAGTGACGGAAAAATTACACTCAAATTAAAGATGGATCGTTACATCTAACTCACCCTTGACACTCTAATTTTCCAATTTAATAAAAATTGTCCAACTATGAGAAGGAATATAATTTTTTTCCTTAAACTATTTGCTGGTTTGGTTTTTAAGATTGAATAACTCACTATATTAAAGATATGTTAAAAGAAGAAATGATAAAATCCTATCTAGCTTTAAGGTAGAATTATACAATCCAATTCAATCCAGCACCAGCTATGCCTGGACAATTTCTCATATTACTAGTTTGTTTTATGGTGAAACCTCTACTTTTCAGTAATATAACAGTTATCAACGAGGGTGTTGGATGGGTTGCCATTAGGTTATGTCTAGTCCAGCTATGCCTCTTGTTGGGCTAAGGCTTCTGGGTTTAGTTATGCCCCCTTACTTGTCTAGTTCGGACCATTGGGCTCTACTTTGTTACCATTATGGCCTCTTTTAGGTGTTGTTGAACTTTGGGTTTTACCTAGTTCACAAGAACAAGAAAATGGGTCGGCATACTCTTGGGCCATTGGAAAAATCAGAGCCCATGCGTACATGTTGCGCCAAGAGGAAGGTTACATTGCATTTCTTCCCAAAATATGAGTGATTGAAAACTCTTTGGGCAATTTTCAAAGCTTCTTAACTCAGTTGATTCTTAACTAAATTTGATCCATAATATATCAAAATAAAGATAAGAAACTGTAGAACAATACTATACCTATTTGGAAGCCTAATGATTGCCGGAGATGGTCGGAAAATAGGCTAAAATATGACTAGTTCACGGGAAAACTGGAGAACTCGCTAGAAACTGGGTAAACTTTAAACGTTCATAACTTCTTCAATACTGAATCAAATCGAGTGATTCAAAAATGAAAATCATACTTCTCAACGAGACGAAGAGAATGATATCTTTTTTTTACTGCTAAATTACCGTGGTTTGGCTGGCAAACTGCTCAAAAGTGGCTAACTTGAAAATGGTTAGCCAGTTTCGAGCCGTTGTTCAACCAAACCACGGCAAGTTAGCCTTCTAAAAAGGTATCATTCTCTTCATCTCGTCAAGAATTATGATTTTCGTTTTTGAATCACTCAATTTGGTTGAGTATTGAAGAAGTTATGAACATTTAAAGTTTACCCAATTTCCGGTGAGTTTTCTAGTTTTCGGGCAGATCAGTCACCTTTCAGACTATTTTTCAGCCATCTCAGGCAACTATTGGCTTCCAAATAGGTATAATATTATTCTACACTTTCCTATCTTTATTTTGATATATTATGGATCGAATTTGGTTGAGAAACGATTGAGCTACAAAGTTTTGAAAATTGCCCAAAGAGTTTTTAACGGAATGACCAAAATTATGGATGGTGAACAATCTGAGGGACCATTTCTATTGATTTAAATCTCAGGGACCATTTCTATTGATCATGCAAATCTCAGGGATAATTTTGTATAATAACCCTTCAGAAGATAAATGTAACGACCCAAAAATCCTAATTCGGAAGCTAATTATTAAGATAGGCCCAAATTATTTTTCTTAGCCAACTTTCAAGAAAAGAATGATCTCAATTATTTTATTAACCACAACAAATTTCTTTCGTTAAAGAAAACCAACACAATATTTAATTTGGGTTATTATTATTATTATTATTATTATTTATATTTATATGTGGCTGCATCTAACTGTCTCGTTAGACTGCCTACGTACCCTACGAAGGGATCAAGCCATTCGTAGTTCGTCGTTTGTAAGAGATTTTCAACACACACCACTTAAGCATTTGAACAGATTTCTTATGAGTCTATGACATTTATTCATGCTTGTTAGAATTGAACATGTTACCCAAAAGAACAACACGACTATTCTTTCCCTAGGGCGTAGTTTGTTCATTTCATTCCATTTTCCATTCAGTTCTCATGTTGTTTCTTAAGTCCATAACATGCCGTAATGGACATTTGTTTCAATAATAATAAATCCAAACAAATTTCAAGTTTACTCTTCTCTTAAGAAAATCCAATTTCTTCAAATACTTAAACCCAATTAGAATTGATTCATTTTTTTCTATGCCACTCCAGCATGCCAACAAAACCCAATTGCATGTACCAAAAACCAACAAATTTCACCTATCAACTTGCAGAAAATTTAACCAGAAAAAGAAAAGTAACAAAGCAAAATAACCCACACCTAAATCGAAGCATGAAACGACCTTCATCTAAAACAACAACAGGAGCAATCCACGTAATATAAGAATAGAGCCAATTCATATTCAGATTGCAGGAGGTTTGAAAGGAGGATGTGTCTCCAACTCGCTGGAGTTCGCCCATTTTCATGGTTTTGGTAGCTTGGATGGTCTGCTTCGACAATACTATGTCTCACAATGCACCGATGGTGCATGCAAGACCCCAATCGCGTTGTACATGCTCTATAGATTCAAGATATATGGTTTTGAGGTTAAATTATTCAAGGAAATGGTGGTGATGGTGGCTAGTTTGCCACGGTGCCAGAGAGAGATGGAGAGTTTTTCGGAAATATCAGGACTCCCCCAGAACCCCGTGCATGTCAGGTGGCAAATTCACCCGTATAGCTATCTTGCCTGTATCACATGTGAAACTTAGGAATCTCCCCCCACACGCACACACACACACCTAAATATATTTTTCCTACTTAACAATAAATATTTTTTTTCCACATAATCCTATATTTTTAATTTTTTCCTAGGGTATTACAATAAATTTATTAAAACTCATATAATATCCCTTTATACTCAGTTTACTCTTTACACCTATATTATTTTTAATTAAACTATCAATATTTCTTTAAATTCAAATGTACTACCTAAACTACCCTTATAAACCTAATTCAATATGTAAACTTATCTTTACACCCATTCAAAAAATTAAAAAAAAAAAACAAAAACCATGTAAATTCATTGAACTTTTAAACTTACCGCGTGCTGTCAATATGTAATTGCCTGCAAATAGTCATATGTCCAATGGACTAAAAGAACAAAATAAAAAACTGAAATTCCATGTCAAGAATGAACAATTTCCTTAAAATGAAATCAAAATTGTCACTTAGTACTACGGTTTAGTGATATTTCTCTTCATTTGTAAGTAAGAGGTCTTAGATTTGGTTCTCGCCAAAGGCAAAGTCAAACCACATTATTACTAGCCAATTGTACTATTTCTTAGTGTAAATAATATCGTTTGTTAAAAAACTGAGCTAATTAATAGCTTTTCGTTAGCATAAATTCATAATGATTCACGACTTATAAGCCGAGCTATCATGCTCCTGTAGAGAAAACATTATGAACATATTACTGATAATAAAAGAAGATATAATAGTAAACTAGCTCTTTTCTTCCTTCAAGGATGCAAAGGTAAAGATGGGAAAACATGTTTACTGAAAACATATGACATGGGGAAGCATTTCACACATGTATACCATCTTTGGAAAACTAATGAAAAGGGCTTGAAAACTTTGAGTTTTAATGATAAGGACAAAATAAAGGGTAAAGTGAATAGTACCAGGATTGACTTTTTAGTGTAAAAATGTGGTTTTTCGTTAAAGTGAACAGTACCGGGTGCTTTTCGTTAAAGTTCCCTACCATCTTTGTATGACATATCTCCCATTTACAATGTAGACTTTCAAGAATTTGTCAGCACATGCTCTCTTGTAATTATCTTCAAGAGTCACAACATCAACATATCTATCAAATATTTTCAAAGATAAGGAAATCTCAAGTTCTAAAGGTATTTATCAAAGCATTTTTAATCATCTTCAAGAGCCACAATATCATTAGTAACTACATTCTCTAACCCTTAAAGTTGCTTAAGTGGATCCACACTCCCCTAGTATTTTGAGTACAATTTTTTTCACTCAAATATGACTTTCTCATTTGACTCTTTTTATGCCACATGGTAGAAATTGGTGGCAACATTCTCTAGCTCTCGAAGTTGCTTAAATTGATACACACGTCCTTAGAACTTTAAGTACAAGTTTTTCACTCATATATCACTTCTCATTTGACTCTTTATGTGCCACATGGTAGAAACTGGTGGCAAAATTCTCTGGCCCTCAAAGTTGCTTAAATTGATACACACGCCCCTAGTACTTTGAGTAAAAGTTTTTCACTCAAATATCACTTCTCATTTGACACGTTTTGTGCCATGGTTGAAACTGGTGGCATAAGGTGTCTTTAAGACAAATGTACCCACAACATACAAAGTCATCAATCAATTTAGAATGATCAAATAAGATAATATATATGTGTGTGTTTGTGTGTGTGTAAAAAGAAAATAGGCATCACCGAATTATTGATCCAATCAAGTGACTTGTCCTCAAAAGGAGTGGTTAGGGTTTTGGGAAAGTCAAAGCACCGTTTTGCCTCCTAGGGTTAGGGTTTGCATGAAAGTCAACTATATGGAGTAGAAAGCAATAGCGAGTAGTGTCTTGGGAGCAATCTTTGAGTTTTTAGTAGGGGTTTTATTGTTTGTGTGTCGCAAAAAATGAATGAACCAAAGATGGAGGAACTGGGGCTTAGGATTGGGTCTAACCTAATGCTGTTAGATAAGGAGCGAAAGGGGATTGTTATAGGGAAGAAGGAGGTTGAGGAGGCTTGCT